CCGCAACACACTAGTACTAGTACCATAAATAACTATTGATAGATCTTAGTGCAGAATGGGATGCCTCAGGATTTTGTTTTAAAGCCCCTGTTTTTCACAATTTATATGAATCATCTTGTATTCTTTCTGTCTCTCTAGAAATGTTTTCTTTATGCTGATGATACATATTTAATTTGTACTAATAAATTTGTAGTTTGCAATTTACAGTTAAAGAAACATAAAACAAAGGCGGTGAGTATGGTTTGCAAATAATAATTTTAAATTTTTTTTTAGATAAAACAACGTATAATTTTATCCATCGATTATAATATTACACGCGTTCTACAATTTATTCGGGTTTGACCATTGATGCTCTCACCCTAGTTACTATTACTGTCATATTAAATGTACCTTCAGTTATAATGATGAAAAGAAATTCAGAACTCTGTACTGAGAAAACCTAACCGCTCACCATATCAATATCTCATGTTATTCTATTGTATCATAGTTGTAAGTTAGTTGTCTACATTTTACAGGTCGTTATTGATAAAATTCAAATTTCAAGAGGCGATTTTTCACACGAAAAATCATATCGGGATAAATCTAAGTGCGTTTTAAGATCCCATTAATGGTTTGAGAAAAAAAATTACCTTTCCATGTAACATAACTTCAAATACGTCTAATTTTAGATTGGTATATCTCAAAAATCAGGGCCAACTGAGGGCAACTGAGAAATTTGGGCCTCGGATTCGAATTCAGCGCACCAGTAAAGTATATTCGTGTTGTTTGGTTAAAATCCTGTCGGCCTGTGTTATTAGTTGAAAGGTTAGGTTGGAAAGTTTTAAGAATCCTCTAGTGATGAAGTAGAAGTACATATAAAAGAATCTCATCAATGCCAGTATCTCACTTTCTTCAATTCTACCAAATTTGTAACGTCAGTTGCCTATTCTTTACTTACAAGTTTTTGTAATCGATTTTATACTTTCGGATTTAGAAATTCATGCCACGAATCTTGAAGTAGATTACTAATATTCTACCTAAATAAATGAGGATGATGTTGCTCAGAATATTCATAATAGTAATTTCTGCAAAGAAACATCTAGTAAAACTCCATTTCTCTCTCCGTTTAGTTGTGGTACACTTTCTTTAACATTTGTACTATTTAATGTTGAAAACGATTTTAGATTGGTTGAATTGGTATTCATCAGCTAGTCTAGAATCAGAATCAGTGCTAGGCATCTTAAGTCTAAGCCATAAAATTAAACTACTGATGATACGCACGAAATGAATATTATTGTATATAATGCGGTTCTCGATGCAAGCACGTCTTTGGCTGAGATTGCGACATTCGATCCGTATCGTCGATCAATAGTTGCATACAAGTGTTTGATCATTGTTTACACAATCATAGTCTCATTATGTTATGTTATAATGCAAGTGCACTTTACATCTGATTTATATGATATTACAGCAGGGTGGTGGACGGTAAAAAAAAAACAAGAAATGGACAACATTTATTTTAGTTTTCAGTTTATAAATCTATTAGAAGGTGTGGGTAATTTCTGCGTGACATAGGTATTAGTTTTTACTGGAATTGAAATAGAATTTTGTCTCTTTGTGTCAGAGACTTACTTAACTAGTTAAGTAAGCGACACAAGAATGTCGCCTACTGGTGAAAATTAGTCGCCCAGAGACTGAAATGAAACACTAAATAATAACGAACGCAAAACAGTTCGTCCCGCAAATAATAAGGCAAAAAATGTTATAATAATTGAAAACAATTTTCATTTTTTATTGTAAAATTCTAAATTTTTCGTAAACAATAAAATCAGATTAGGTCCATGTATTCGTAAGAAATATTATTATTTATTTCAAAATTCCCCTCCATAAAACTTCAAAAATTTGTCTGAGCTTCGTCGCTCAGTGATTTTGACTTATAAAATGCACTGCTTTGTGTGGTGTAGGTGTGTAATTTTGTAGTTATTTATTTCAGTGTTTAGTGATGGGACAGTTTATTTGTATCTTCATTTTAATTGTCAATTTCTGTGTTATATTATGGAGAAAACATGTTTACAAATAAAAAAAAATCATTGGATTAGAGCTTACTTTATGTAAGAAGAAAAAGTGATTAAGGTTATCTGTAGCCTACAAGCATCCAAATGGTATTCAATTCAATCTACTAATGAGACATTTTTTTTGGTCATATATTTGACTTACCGGTTAAAAATGGCAAATATGAAATAAACGATAACTATATATAACCCATTATAATTTTTATTACATACATAAAAAAAATTAAGTCCCTATATATTAAACTTCTATCCTAATTATATACAAGATCACATACATAAATATTTAACTAAAATTAGATACTTTCATATATGTATAAGTATATAAAATATACAAGGTGGCCAAATGAAAACGAAACAGAGCCATTTTCAGTAACTGCGTCAAGATTGTAGAAAAATGCTCAGACCCGTCGATTTTAGATTAAAGGGGGAATTCTTTGCTGGTATTTTTGACTCCGCCACTTTCACCCCCAAGCAAGGGTAAGCGTCACCCTAAAATATTTAAATGGCATTGGGGGTTGAGTAATATTTTTTTAAAAGCTCTTACAATTCTCTTTACAACAGACTGTAAATTTTATAATTCCGCCCAATACTTATTAAGAATTTTTATTTTAAAGTTGAAACTTATGTACAAACAATTAGTAAGTATAAATTTAGTATTTCTTGCGTTACATTGGTTTTTGGCGATTTGTTATCACTTTTGTAAAAAAAGCACAATTGTAAAAAACAGAAATGAATGCTATACACACAATGAACGTAAAATTAGTGGATTGCAAATTATTTTCTAGTATTATTTGGAAACGTTGGTTGGTAGTTTATTTAATTGTGTTTTTGAAAAATAAACACTATGGTTTATTCCATTGCGGAAAGGGTAGATATCATTTCTCTTTCATTTGTGAACAATAAATGTGCGAATAGAACAGCTCAGCTATTTAATGAACAACATCAAGATCGACCTGTCAGGAGGAAGTATGTTCTAGAGTTAGTAAAAAAAATTCAAGAGACAGAAAACGTAGCCAATAAAAAACGAGAAATTGAAAAACCTATAGTTAATGAAGGTAGTGAAGTTGCAGTTTTGGGACAAGTTCATCTTGATCCTACATTAAGTACGAGGCAGCTGGCATCTGTGTCTGGGATCAATCGAACTAGCATTTAGTCCAGGAACTTCATGAGGATGATTATGACCGCCGTTTGCAATTTTGCGAAATAATGAGTGAGCGAGCAGGGAACGATCCACAGTTCCTTTTTAACATCTGTTTTTCTGATGAATGCAGTTTTTTCTTGAACGGGACGGTAAATCGTCACAATTGCCGCTATTTATTCCGATTCAAACCCAAGAGTTTTTCACGAGGTGCATACACAGCAACCGGAAAAATTAAATGTATGGGCTGGAATTTTCGGTAACCGGCTGGTGGGTCCTTTTTTTCTACCTAGTAATTTGACTGGCCAAATGTATTTGTAATTATTGGGAAACGCTATTGACCCTGCCTTTACTGACATTATCGAAAATGTTCCAGAGTATGATGAAGATCATTTGATTTTTCAACAGGATGGTGCTCCTCCGCATTATGCGTTAATTGTCCGTCAGTATTTGGACCAACGTTTTCTACGGAATTGGATTGGGAGAAGAGGCAGCAGCAGGCAGCAGTGGCCTCCACGATCACCGGATTTATCGCCCCTTGATTTCTTTTTGTGGGGGTACCTAAAAAGTAAAATCTATAGAACACAGCCAGCTATGGCTATTAAAATATAATTTAAATTTTAAAATGTAAATGTTTTCGAAGTATTGGGCGGAATTATAAAATTTAAAGTCTGTTGTAAAGAGAATTGTAAGGGCTTTCAAAAGAAATATTACTCAACCCCCAATGCCATTTAAATATTTAGGGATGATGCTTACCCTTGCTTGGGGGTGAAAGTGGCGGAGTCAAAAATACCAGCAAAGAATGTCCCCCTTTAATATAAAATCGACGGGTCTGAACGTTTTTCTACAATCTTGACGCAGTTCCTGAACATGGCTCTGTTTCGTTTTCATTTGGCCACTCTGTATATAGAATGCACAATGTTATTGTACGATGTACGATTTTAGTTATTTGAGTGTTTACATAAATTAAGTGCCAAATCTAAGCAAATATAAATTATATAATAAAAACTAAACAAAACCTAGTTTTTTTTTTCAATCTTAAATATGTTGATAAGAAATGGTTGTCGTTACCAGTTTCTTTAAGTCAATCAATTCAGTCATTGTGAAATCAATCAAGGAAAAAAAGTAGATGATTTTAATAAATCTAATTTCATTTACAAAATTCTTCCTAGCACCTTTGTTAAATCCGTAAGAGTAAAAAGAATATCTAATGAAATACGTAAGTAGTTCTTTTTTATCTCTTACTTTAATTTTAAAATGCCCCCTTTTATCTACAAGTCTCTAAAACTATAAAATACTTTAGCAACATTTATCTGCTTCATCTGTAGAAGTAACATCTGTACGTCTGTATGAGTGTTGTGTACGTATATTTATAAGTTATATTGTTTTTTACACTGTTTTAATAACTCTTTATAATCATATTGCTTTTAATATGTGTAAGTTAATTGACTTTCTGAGGGGTAGGCTAATTATCAGTTATCTGTATATAGTCCTTTTGTGTATAGGTTGTATATTGCCATTGTAACTGTGCACAATAAATATTTTTCTACCTTTTTACCTTTACCTTTACTTTTGATTTATTAAAATTTTAGAGAAATACATACTTCAAACTGCATCTAAAGATTTAATTGTCACTGAAATCAATCAATTGGGCAAAGAGGTCATATAACATAAACAATCATCGAAATCAGTTTAAAAAGACCCAACCCTTTTTAACTTTTGAACATATAATAGAAATTTTCTACACATTCATTATATACAAATTATAATAATTTTTTACCTTTGGCAGAAAACTTTTTTAGGAACGCCTATGAAAGTCATTAAATTTTATTGCGGGCGTTTTTTTTTTTCATGTTCAACTTACTTCGGAAAGACTATACCTATAAGTAGTTGTATATTCAGTCATTATTATGTTTGAAATTAATCTCAAAGTAAACTTAAAACTACTTTAAGTTGTCGGTGTTCTAGTAATATCGTTATCGTTAAAATAAATAGTTCCTAGGTAGTCAGAATTTACTTATTTCCTAGGCACGAACTTGACTTTAATCTCTTTTGCACTTCTCAGTACAATATCACTCTTATATTTTAAAGTTTCTGGTGTATCTACCGGTTCCAATTGAAATTTTCTTAGAATTCCACATAACGCAGCTTTTATCTCACAGAGGCCATATTTTTGACCTAAAATATAAAAGAGTATGTATTTTCCTTAACACATTATTTTTTGGAAAATGATAGTTGAACACAAACCGTTCAAAGGAGACTTACCTATGCAATTTCTGGACCCTGCGCTGAAGGGTATGAAGGAGAATGGGTGTCTCTTAGCTATGTTTTCTGGAAGAAACCTGTCGGGGTCGAATTTCGTAGGATTTTCCCACACATCAGCGTTCCTATGTATGTCGTAGATGTATATATTAATGTCGGTACCTTTCGGTATCGTGTAGCCCGAATGGGTTTTAATGTCTGCCCCTGATATCCTGTTGATCATCGGGATGCTGGGATATAACCTCAGAGTTTCCTTGATGCATCTTTCCATGAAAGACAACTTCAGCAGGTCGGAGTATGTCGGGGGCCTTCCGGAATCTCCTAGCACCTCGATTATTTCATTGTAGATGTCTTCCTTTATAAAATTCTTGATTTTTTATATTATTCGAACAAAAAGTACATTTTTTTTTAAATTAATACCTACCTGAATACGTTTTTCGTTTGCGAGGGCCATCAAAGCGAAACAGATAGCCATCGATGTAGTATCATGCCCCTGAAAATAAATTGAATATAGAATGGGCTCGTTTATCGTATTTTTTAAATTCATATTCAGAAGGTACACATCGTAGTTATATTCAACAATTTCTGCCTCGAAATGAAAACGGAGCGCGGGAAAATGCTCAGGAGCCATGTTGTGACGTCATACCACATGTTAACGGCTAGCCCACATACTTGGCTGGGTCTCAGTTAGATCATACCGTCTCTTCACACGTAATGACGTAACTGAATGGCACTATTTTTGTTGGATGTATGTAAGACCACGAACAAAGAGAGTTAAAAAACAATCAAAGAATCCAGATATTTGAAATGAAGGTCAAATGTGGCTACGCAAACATCTCATAATTTCCCGAATTTCGATAAAGTGTAATAGATACGCGTTCTAGCGACAGTTATCGTTTGTTTTGCCACCAGTCGTAGATGGTCTCTAGTGCAACTGTTGCATTTTAATCTTGATTTTTCAATTACCAATACATGTCGCTGTTGTGAATAAAATTAACAAAATATGTCTATCTTTGATCACGTCATAAAAGAACAAAGTACGAACCTGGAATGTTCGATTTAATGCCGGGCCTCAGAGCAAAACAGACTTTTTATGATTATGTGTAGAATATTTAAATATGTATCAGCACAAGTGATTTTTACTGGCATATTGCGAGGGGTAAATAGTGATTGAGAATACATATATTTTTTTTATATTGTTAAACTTTTTATCAAATACGTTTAACTTACTCCAAATAGAAAGGTGTCTACTTCTTCCCGTAGCCCAGCGTCGTCGATATCAGCCCCTGTTTGTTGCGCTTGCAGCATCAGATCCAACATCGCTCTCCTTTTCTTTACCGAATACGAGTTATGGTTGATGTCAAAAGTTTTCTTTCGTTCTGCTATGACGCTCTCGGAGAAATTGTGCAGCACGTCCAAATACTCTTTTTCCTTCGCATGTACCTTCGACAGTTTGTATATGGGGTTAACTAGTAACCAGGGTCTTACGATTCTGTATATCATGATTTCGCCCAAGTCTGTGACAGCGTTTTTGTAGGATTCTGATGATTTTTGCTCATATAAGTGGATGCCCATTGATGTCTCTGAAACATAGATAGATTTTATATATTCTGATAAATATAGAGATAGATGGAAACTGTCAATTAGATTAAAAGTAACCTATATGAGAATGTCGACAATTTTTATACACAAAACGTTTTTAGTTATAAAGCGTGTTTAATTAATCTGTCGTTACAAACTCTTTAAACAACAATTTCACGGAGTGGAGCGGTAGGCGAGGCACCATATTGTGGCCTTCCCGTAGTCCAGATCTTAATCCACTGGATTTTTTCTTGTGGGGTTATTTAAAAAATAAAGTATATATAAAGAATAACGACCGAAATTGCTAATATCAATAATAATCCCGACGTATTTGAAAATGTGATTGCATCAATAAGAAAAAGATATGAATTATGCATCCAGAGGAATGGATAGAACAACATAGGACAATTATTAAAATAATGTATATTTTCCTTGTTCTAGCCCAGTCATTATAGACATGAAAGAGCCTGTTTCGGGAAAAAAATACTATTAGAAGTTTCTCTGCGGAATATTGTTCGGAAACCTGTTATAAATAAAATATCAAAAAATCAACTCGAGGCTAGTTGGGAAACTTTCTTTTAACAGTGGTCAAAGTTATGGAAAAGTGGTTTTTTGACTCACGTAAAAAAGCTATTATTCATAGCGAAAAAAAGTTTATACAAAAAAGGTAGGTATTAAATAAGCCTATAAAATGAAAAAAGTCCGATTAAATTCCGATAATTTGTTTATGCACAAGAGCTCAAAAATGGTCGAAAATTGCCGTTTTTTTCAATTGCTAATAATTAATGCAATTTTCATCGCAGACACTTGTAATTCAGGATTTTTGAGGCTTTTTACACCCTTAATAAGTGGTAAAAATTTCAGCTCGAAAGCTTCATTGGTTTGACGTTGGCGGAATTTGTTATCTAAGAAGATGCTATTTTTCAATTCATTTTTCCCAAGCTCACAGGCGTTGTAGGGTTTTGATCATTAGTTGTTTTTGTACCTAAATAGTTGTATTGACATAGACATTTACCGAGAATTTAGTTTTTCAAATTTAATTTGTTTAAAATTGACTTTGAAAAAATGTTAATATTTATTAAATTGTTAAGATAGGTAATTATTATAAAATAAAATAGTAACCTCTTTACTTTAGTTTTCTTCGAATTTAAAAAAAAATCGTTGTTGTAAGTTGATTAGAAGCTGAGATAATTTTTTTTATTTATTTAATCGCAGTGACCTTAATTATTAATATTAAGAGCCGAAATTTGGAGAGAGTATACATTAAGAGCTATATTTTCATGTCCTACATTAACATTAAGGTGAATTCAACTATTTAATTTCGAAAAAGAAGATAGCGGCGATGCGTTCTATTACTTGGTCTAGCGAACGAGTGGGGAAGGCGAGGCTTAGCATGCGCGCTTAACGATGTAATAAATATTAACATTTTTTCAGTCATTTTTAAACAAATTAAATTTGAAAAATTAAATTATCAGTAAATGCATATGTCAATACAACTATTTAGGTACAAAAACAACTAATGATCGAAACCCTACAACGCCTGTGAGCTTGGGAAAAATGAATTGAAAATAGCATCTTCTTAGATAACAAATTCCGCCAACGCCAAGCTAATGAAGTTTTTGGGCTGAAATTTTTACCACTTATTAAGGGTGCAAAAAGCTTCAAAAATCCTGAATTACAAGTGTCTGCGATGAAAATTGCATTAATTATTAGCAATTGAAAAAAGCGGACAATTTCGACCATTTTTGAGCTCTTGCGCATAAACAAATTATCGGAATTTAATCGGACTTGTCTTATTTTACAGATTTATTTAATACCTACCTTTTTTGTATAAACCTTTTTTTCTCTATGAATAACAGTTTTTTTACGCCAGTCGAAAAACTACTTTTTCATAATTTTGACCATTGTTTTAACAAAGTTTCCCAACTAGTCTCGAGTTGATTTTTTGATATTTTGTTTATAACACGTTTCTGAACAATATTCCGCAGAAAAACTTCTAATAGTATTTTTTTCCCGAAAAAAAGCTATAATGATTGGCCTGTTCTGTGAATATTCATTACTATTCCTATAATTTTATTTGTTCGAACTATTGATTGTTTTTCTGTTTTTCTGTTTTTTTCCCGATATTTTATAATAAAACTGTAAAAAATAAGTGCCAGATATGTTATATACTTTTGTTCAGAATAAAATTTTACATCTAAAAATGTAATAATTTACTGGGTCTTCCATTAAAAAAATAATACGTTGTATCTGTCACATTGACATTTAAATTTGAATTGCTTTTTCGTTGCTACAAACAGAAACTTCATAAAAAAACACTACAACTTTTATTTCAATAAAATTTGTATATTTGCAAAACTAACCGAGATAAGTGGGGTGGGAAAGTTAAGTGGGACACCCTGTACAAATGAAAGTAGCTGCCGGTAAATTTTAATTATTTCTACAAATAAATTCAACTATTTTTAAATTTTTTGAAATCATTCTAGGTTACTCTTATTTTTTTTATCTTGACGAAAATCACTATACTCTGTTTGGAAATGAAAGAGAGTAGTAAAACCCCGAGATAAGAACCGGCCATGGGCGTGGTAATACTTCGTTTCAGGTAATTTTTGGGTAAAACTAATGCTAACAAAAATGACAGGGATTGGAAAATCTACTATTTACAGACTTTTAAAGGAAACAAAAAATGAATAAGATACTGTAAATCCCCCAAAATCATCTACAGGGAGGTCAAAAGTCGTTATAGATGATTTCTTCAAAAATGTCATTCGCAGAAAAGTACACTCACTTTATTTTAAAAAAGAAATACTAACGCTAAACAAAATTTTAAGTGAACTTTCAGAGGACAACGATTTGCTAAAAATCAGTAGAAGCAAATTATGGGCTGTCTTACGAGAGTTGAATTTTTGCTGGGAAAAGCAGAAGAGGAAGTCAGTTCTTATCGATAAAGATGAAATTATTTGTTGGCGAAAATCCTACTTAAGATCGATTAGAAAATTCCGTGACGAAGGAAGGAATATTTATTATCTAGACGAAAGTTGGGTCAACGAGGGATATACTGTAACAAAAGTATGGCAAGATAAAAATGTAAAAAGTTTTCGACAAGCATTTTTGGATGGACTTTCAACAGGGTTCAAGGCACCTTCAGGTAAAGGGCGAAGATTAATAGTGACACATATAGGTAGTGCCAGTGGCTTTGTAGATGGCGGTTTACTTTTATTTGAACTAAAAATACAGGTGACTTTCACGAAGACATGAACGCAGATGTTTTCGAAGAGTATTTTACACAGATGTTGGATCTTATTCCTCCGGGGTCTGTAATTGTCATGGATAATGCCAGTTACCATTCACGGCAGACCGAGCGGACGCCTACGACTGGTTGGAGGAAAGCCGATATAATTTAAGGGTTATCCGGAAAAAACATTTCTTTTGAAACAAATATGGTGAAAAAGGAACTTTTGACACTTGTCAATTTTAATAAAGATCAGAAAAAATATGTTATCGATGAAATGGCAACAAATCGCCAAATAACGGTACTACGGTTACCATCTTATCGCTGTGAACTTAACCCAATCGAATTAGTCTGGGCGCAGGTGAAAGGAAACGTAGTGCGAAATAATACGACATTTAAATTATGTGACGTGAAAATTTTGTTAAAAAATTCTTTGGAACGAGTAACTGCAGATAACTGGCAAAGATGTATACATCATGTACAAAAAGAATAGGAGAAAATGTGGGAACTCGATAATTTAATTGACGTTACTGTGGAACCTATCGTTATCAATCTAGGAGACGAAGATAATTCATCAGAATATTCAGAGGATGAATTTTAATATACCTACTTTTTTATTTTCTTTATTGTACAACAACACTACATTTACTCACCATAATTTGAATTTTCAAAATACATATATTTTTGTGTGGAATAAAAGTCTATTCATTAAATTTAAATAAATAATATTGAATAATTTTATTTGAATTGCTAAAAACCTTCTTAACCCGGTTATGATGCTTAAAGTAGCCTCATGTTTTGAAATGCTGTTTTTATATTGTTAACTTATAAGAGAAACGGACCGAGAAATTGAAGCGGCATAGACAAAGACGGATTGTCGGGAATTAAATTTTAGCTACCTGCTAAAATTTAGTACAACCCGGTTACACAAAGTTTTTTTTAAAGTACACCTCATCCTATACCGATAATACATAATATAAAAATATTGAATATAAGCAGCAGTACTACATTTATTTACGATTTGCATACATAATAAGCTTTTATTACTCTCTTTCATTTCTAAACAGACTATAGCTATTTAAAGTTTGTAGCAATCACTCTTTTAAAAATTACCTATTATAGAACACAGGGTGAATTCAGTGACAGGTTTGAGTACGTCTATGTAAGGTTCATCGCAATGTTTCATCAGTTCTCCTATTAGACCCTCGGCCTCTTTATTGAAGATACTAACAAACTCCTGAAGTATGCTGAAGTGGAACGCAGGCGTTAAGATCTTCCGCCTGCTTTTCCATTTTTGGCCATGACTGTGTAACAAACCATTGCCCAACCAGTTGCTTATCACGTCGTAACCAGACCCTTTCCTTTCGTGGACCTTCACGTTTATGACCTTCTGAAAAATGAAAACCCAATGAACCTTGTACCTTTGTTGTATGAGATTTTATCTAATAGCTGTTAACAGTCACTTTGGTTTCTATTAAATGTCAGTTATTTGTTATTTTTCCTGTCTGGTTACTGTGTCATGCGTTATACAGGGTGGTCCGAATTTTATGCAGGAAACTTCGAGGGCAGATAGATCTCTTTAAAATAATATGTGTTTGCCTTATAAACATAGGTCTGGAACGGCACCGTTTTAGAGATACGGGGTGTTGAAGTTGTCAAAAAAATTGATTTTTTGTTTATATCTCCGGAATCTATTAACCGATCTCAATAAAATTTGGTACATATAATGTATGATAGTAGGCCTTATATTCACTGAAATATGATCTTTAAAGGTTCAACCAGTGGTGTACAACTGGACAGGGGTCACCCCCTTTTTTACAAAAAAAACTACACAACTTTTAATGCACAAATACGTAAAAAAGGTAACTTTAATTTTTTCCCTAAGATTCGCCGTTCTCAAGTTATTCAAACCAATACAATCCCCGTGTGGCAGACACTTCTAACGATAATATTTCAAGAATATTTGTTTATGTTTAAAAGTAAGTATAATTTGTAAGCACATCGACAAAATTATTTACACTCCTTTCTACACCACCTGTGAGGTAGTGTGCGATATAAACAAAAAATATATATTTTTTTAAAACCTCAACACCCTGTATCTCCAAAACGGGGCCGTTCCAGACCTATGTTTATAAGTCAAACACATATTATTTTAAAGAGATCTATCTACCCTCGAAATTTCCTGCATAAAATTCGGACCACCCTGTCTCGACTGACGTTTCGAGTGACATATCGCTCCATTCTTCAGACGGCTCAGGATATTTTAACAAGCGACGTGTAGTTCAGTTACTCGAGGTTTTTAACTCCGAATTCTTTATAACTGAACCGATTGACGTGAAATTTTGACTGAATGTGGGGAATGCCTCAAGGAACAAAACTTATATAGTGCCGAAGTGTGCTTTTTGCCCTTCTCTTGGGGGTGGAAATTTTTACGTCCAAAATAACCACAGGAATCGATAGAGGTGTCAATTTTATGAAACAAATGTTATATAAAGTTTTTTGGATAATCCAATACTTTCCGAGTAATTCGTCATTGAAAATGTTGATTTTTTACTAAAAAAGTACTTGTTTTCGGACAGTTTTTTGCAAATAACTCTGAAACATTGGATTTGACGAAAAAGTTATAATGAACAAAAAGAAAGGTAATAAAAAACCAAATCTAATGGCATTATTTTGTTTTTCTCTAATTGCAATATAAACCGAGTTATAGATTTTTAAACATTATTATATGTTAGCTAAAAACTAAATTGGAACCAGTTAACGTTAAATAACGCCAAAACCATAAATATTAGGAAAAAACTATTTGAACCTTTTTTAAAGTACTTTGAAAACCTTTAAAATGAGCTGTTTTCAGATCCAAATTAACGGAAATATGGTCGAAATAACATGATAGTCTTATTTTTTTAAAGAAAACAGTAATAAACAAATCAGTGCCTTTGGTGACAGAATTAAAATTAAATGCAATTAATTTACAGATTTCTTCATTTATGTTCTAAGAATATGTTCTGGGTCTTTGGCTCACTTACAAAGCATGATTTAAAAAAACGTAATTTTTGAAAATGTAAATTTTTCAAATTTTTGAAAAAATCGAAAAAAATACAAGAGTAAAAAAATTTAGCTTTATTTTTGCTGAAGATTTTGTTTAATTTTTTTTATTCCTCTAAAATTAATTTTAATCGAGATATCGCCATTTTAAGTTATCATATGAATGAGAGAACCACCTTTTTCGAGCCCTTTAAACCCTTCAAACTTAAAAATGAACTACTTAAAAAAAATCAACTCTACAGTTCACGTAGCCCTTACAATTCCCTGCAAAATAAGCCTTTGTGCGATTAAAAATCTTAAAAAGTAAGAAAGTTATCGTCAAAAAAATAAACACGTGTATAGGTTATAAGTGTTAAGAAAATTTAGGACAAAGAATATTGAAGCATTTAGATCTTTTTTGTATATATACGTATTTAGTATGTGAATATTCGAATAATCCAGTACTATACTATATTATAACTACTATATTAATAAGGGAATAAATGTTTATTTAATACGAATGCACATTTAAAATGTTTCTACTCTTTCAATAATATTTTTTCATTTTATTTTCGAAAGAAGGGGTATTTTTCAAGGGTTGAAAAGTTGCAATAGATAAAAAAGATTTTTTAATCAAGAAATCAATTTTAATTTGATAAAATGCATGATTAAAACGTTTCAAATTGAAAAAAATATATATTATTTTCATCCAAAGGGGTGGTTTTTAAAGATTTTTCCGGGTTGAAAATTTGGGATACATTTTCATGTTAGATAGCACATGAAATTACTCATACTGCGGTGGTTTTCACCCCTTAAGAACAAAAAGCACACCTAGCGCATATATAAGTTTTGAAGTGGGGGGTAAGATGAGCCTAATTCTAAATTTTGAGAAAAATCGATGCAGTTATAAAAAATTCGGAGGTATTACTATATTTTCAGCTGCAGTAACTGGGCTAGTGGCAAGTAAACGGAAAAATACCCAGTTCGGGAGTTCAGGATTTTTAAATTCAAGGAAATATATCTGCTACCTACCTCTGCATCTTCAGGTGACATAATACTGACAAAAACTTTGCCAAAACATTGCGTTTTGTATATGGGATAGAATTCTTTAGCCCATTTCCTTCTATTTACAAATAGTTGTTCTGAAAAGTGATAAATAATAATATTTAGATGCTAAATTATTATTTTAAATTCATTAATATTATTCATATCTTTTAGAATATCTCCGGAACTACGGAAATCATAAATTTGATGCTTGATTAAACATTATATCTTATTAATGAAGCATTTACTATATGAATAAACTTAAATCTGGTTAAATTTTTTTAGGTCAAGGACATCGTACATATTTTCGATATTATATAAATCTGTGTAGATTGAAAGAACTATTCATCATTATCTCTTCATTTAATGAAATTCCTTTGTTTATTTTTCGTAATAGTTTTGTCGGTGCGTTTTATTTTGTAACACAAAATTAAATATTTGTGATAAAGCTCTCTAAAATTATTTGAAATCATTTGATAAGTGAAGATTTTTTCTCGCTGATGTCATAAGGGAAATCTTGTTTTGAATTCATTGTGTGCAATGCACATAGGGTGATATTTTAGCTATGTTCGTTACGCTTACTATATCCCAAGCAGATTAGACAGTCGCTGATGACTAGCATTGTACAGCGTTATAAAAATCATGCAGTTTTTTAAGAAAAAGTGTAATATTATATCGATAGTGAGGTAGGCATATAGAACAAAACTTTGAAAAAATATTGAATCAATCTTGTACATCAAGATAACATAAGGGATAACATTTTTAATACCGTGAAAACGGTGAGACTTAGACCCTAAGTCAATTCTGAATTATTTATTGAGTTCTATTGAATATTAACAATATTCACATTATTGGTCAGCCTATAGTCTTGTCGTTAGTTATTTAGATATATTTGAGATGACAAAAACGATTCACTATTCTTAATTGACTCAAGGATATTTTAAAAATATATTATATTTATTTGTATTAGATAATAACAATAGGAGATTAATGGAAAGTAAACACATTTTATACGACTTAAAAGAAAAAAATACATTTGTGTTCCCAGTTATATCTTAAGTAGGTACTTTAAGGTGGTTTATCTGATTTGGAATTGACGAACAAATATTCATAAAAAAATTAATATAAGCTTATTAATATGAAGAAAATCCTCAAAAAAAAAATTATGACTAGTTTGTTTGGATACCTAAGAGACCATATATTAATAAAATAATTTTTCACGATTTAGTACTTAGTGTTATGAGAATGCACATTTTTTTGGTCTTTCCACTTAGAATGCGCTGCAATTGACAAACAGTTTTTACGGCAACTTGTATAAATAGGAAACCGATATCTAAGGAACCGTATGACAGCTCGTAGAATCAATCCAAAGACCAACATGTATGCCAAAGACCAATCCGATTGACCGAGATATTGTTGCACTAGGTATTTGTTAATTAATTTCGTACCGTAACAATAAGCTCTATTTAATGCAAAAAGAGCGAATTCCCGAGGGGCTTTTGCCTGATACTGGTACAATTTATTTATAACGCTATTTTTGTTTTACACTTTGTTAATCGTAGAGCAATTAATTTCAACTTTTTGAAGTTTTTCGATACGTTTCTTTGGATCAATCAACTAAGTCCTGTATCTACGATATTAACTTCTAAAACTAAACGAACCAAATTACATAATTAACTAATACCTGACATCGGCATTTGGCACATACATATATTGACCTTTGGATTGACCGCCTTTTTCATGAATTTGTAATTATTGTAATATGGGTGGCAAGATAATGTATACATTTAAAAAATATTTTTTCGTACCCAAACCGCTCATTTAATCAAAATTCTGCAAGAGTCCCAAAAATTTCGAAATGGTGTCAGCTCTTAAATAAAAAATATTTGTCATTATTGCCCGAAAGAGGAAAAGTTATGAACGGATATTATCACCATACATCAATTATGTAGGAGTTGCAGTTTTAAAAAAAACGCTCTGTATAACGCCAAAATGTGTAGATTGAAATCGAAAGTCTAAAACTAAAAAGCAACTGTAAAGCAATGCAAATTTGATTTAAAAATTAATTAAATATGAGTTGATTTGAATAAAAAATCTGACATACCTACTTGATTAAATACTACTAAACTAAATTTTTATTTTATAAATGTATTTTGATTTTTCCAGAAATTCTGAAATCTGAAAATATTTTGTAATTGCCTGTAATTCTCTTATTCGTGTATATATCGTGTATAAAAAAATAATATTTCAAACTGTCGAGTATCAAGATTTTTTTAAATTAATTTGAAATTTCGTCCCTATTTCTAAAAAAGGCGTAGATAGAAATTCCACTGAATTTACGTTTCTTCGAATTTTCCAAAAACTACAGGGTGTAACTAAATAAGTGTAAAACATTTAAGGGGGTGATTCCTCATTGAAAAAAAGATAGGATCTTTCATATAAAGAAACTTCATTGGAGCATCCCTTGTTAAGATACAGCCCCTTAAAGGGGGTACATAAAATTTGTTTAACAATTTTTTTCACAAGCACTAAACAAGTTACAATATTGAAATTAACCTGACATTTTCTACTACCAAAAAGACACTTAGCCAGTAATTTATTTGGTTTACCCCATGGTTGTAAGGGGTGGAAAACGCAACCCCTAAAATTTATTTCCAACGTAATTTTTTGTCTTATTATTT